TGGTGGAGGAAGTTTCTCAATGACCTCTACTTTGGCTTTATCCACTTCAATCCCCTTAGCATAAATCTTGTGCCCCAACACAATTCCTTCTGTTATCATGAAATGACATTTCTCCTAGTTAAGCACAAGATTCGTTTGAACACATCTTTTGAGGACAATATCCAGATTTGCCAAATACCTTTGGAAAGAATCTCCAAAAACTGAAAAATCATCCATAAAGACTTCAATGCTCTTTTCTATGAGATCTGCAAAAATTGTCTGCATACACCTTTGAAATGTAGCTGGGGCATTACATAACCCAAATGTCATCTTTCTGTAGGAAAAGACACTAAAAGGACATGTGAATGTCGTCTTCTCTTGGTCTTTTGGATCTACCATAATTTGGTTATATCCAGAGTATCCATCCAGAAAACAATAAAAAGACTGACCTTCCAATCTCTCGAGCATCTGGTCCATGAAAGGAAGAGGAAAATGATCCTTCCTAGTGGCTTTATTCAACTTCCTATAATTAATGCACATTCGCCATCCAGTAACAGTCCGAGTAGGAATAAGCTAATTATTCTCATTATAAATTATTGTCGTCCCACCTTTCTTTGAAACTACCTGTACTGGACTTACCCATTCATTGTCAAAGATTGGATAAATAATGCCAGCTTCCAAGAGCTTCAATACTTCTTTTCTAACCACCTCCTTCATGACAGGATTTAGCCTTCTCTATGGTTGAGCACTCGCCTATAGTCATCTTCCATAAAGATCCTACGCATGCAATAAGTTGGACTTATACCTTTAAGATCTGAGATTGACCACCTAATAGCTTCTTTGTTGGCTTTTAATATTTTTACCAACTTTTATTCTTCTTCAGGAAGCAAAGAATTATTAATGATGACTGGCTTTGTTCTATCTTCTTCTAAAAAAATATACTTCAAATGTGATGGTAACATCTTTAACTCTAACTTCTTTGCTTTGACTTCTTATTTGGTATCAATTGTCTCAAACTTAGCATCCTTCGCTGGAATCTCCTTCAATGTCTCCAAATCCGTCATACATTCATCAATTAATTTCTCTTCTTCTTCATTGAAGTCTTCACAAGCATCAATAAGAGTTTTCTCTAATGGAGAAGAATAACATACCATCATTTCTTGAACCATAAAAACTTCATCAAGTATATCAAGTTGAAAACATGCTTTATCATCTTTAGGATGTGTCATGGCTTTGAATACATCAAAATTCACTTCTTCATCTTGAACTCTCACTTTAAGCTTACCATTCTCAACATCAATTAAAACTCTAGCAGTCTTCATAAATGGTCTCCCAAGAATGAGAAGCACATCTTCATTCTCCTCCATCTTCATTATAACAAAATCCACTGGGAATACGAATTTGTCAACCTTTACCAGCACATCTTCAACTACCCCATACAAATATTTAAGAGACTTGTCTGCCAATTGAAGAACCATTCTAGTGGGTTTGAGTTCCAAACCCTCAATTCTTTTGAACATAGAAAGCGACATTAAATTAATGCTAGCTCCCAAATCAATCAACGCCCTTCCAACTTCCAACTCTCCTAAGGTGCATGGAATAGTGAAGCTCCCTGGATCTTTAAACTTAGGAGGTAATTGTTGTATGATTGCACTGTAGTTACCTTGCACTTCAATGGTCTCCTTCTCAATGTATTTTCTTTTCTTTGTAAGGAGTTCCCTCAAAAATTTAGCATAGAATGGCATCTGTTGCAATGCTTCAGATAAAGGAATGGTAATCTCCAGTTTTTTAAACATCTCCATGAACCGCTCCAATTGTTTTTCTTTCTCCTTCCTTGAGTAAGTCTTTGGATAAGGAAGTGTCTTTTCTAACTCTCTTTCTTTTTTTCTCTCGTCTACCTCTTCTTTTTCTTTTTCTTTTTTTCTCTCATCTTCCACTTCTCTCTTTTTTTCTTTCTCAACCCTATCTTTCCACTCAAGTGTTTCTTTCCCACTCTTATTTTCACTCTCTTTTCTCTCTATTTTTCTTCCCTCTAACACTGTACCACTTCTTGTAACAATGGTTTTACACTCTTCCCTCAAATTACTCTTTGCATCCTTCTCACAACTTTTCATCTTGTTGACCATTTGCCCAATGTGCATCTTCATACTGTTAAATGCAGCCTCTACATTCTTATAGTAAGAGACTCATTTTCATGAATTGTTGGAAACTATCCTCCAATTTTGTGGTTTTCTCATATTGAGTAGGTTGCGGCTGATGGACAAATTTATGATCACCAAAATATGATGTCACAAACTTGTTATCGGCAAGTATGACCGAATCGTTTCAAGTAATAAACTCGGTAAGACCAAGTATCGTTCTCCCAAAGGACTCACGGCCTAGTTTAGTTATGTGATTTGTTGATTAGCTAAGACTTAAGAACAAAATAATTGGATTTTACTATGCAAAAGACGAAAATAAACATGTATGCATGAGGTTGATCAATGGCTAAAACAAAATACAAACACTTTCAATGGATTATATGAATGAATATGTTGTTGGGGTTTATCAAATTCATCTTATCCACTCTCATATATTTTAGGAATTCAACATTCAATTCATCATTGTTAATGCCACTCTCTAAATTACCTTTCAAGAAGGCTTCTCCCTAATTACGAGTTCATACGATTCCTAGCATTCCTAATAATTAGTTTATTTAGCACAGGAGCTTAAGGCAACCAATATACTTATTGGGAGAAATTCCCCGGATCTAGACTTCCCCGTACGTTCCCGTATCGACAAAATCAATAATCATGCATTGAATGAGTTAAACAAAGCAAGCATTAAGCAAAGAGGAAAAACCCTAACTAATGATGAAAGAAAGTATAAATCTTAGATTAAGATGCAAGCACAAATTCCATATATGAGAGCTTCAAAAGATTACATTGATTCCCCAACAAACATACAAGGTTTAGTTCACCATATTCATGGTGAACCTAGATGAACAATAATGAAAGAATGAAAGATAAAACCCTAGAAAGGTGAAGAGGTAGCCTGAGCATCCAAGATCCTCCTTCAAAGGGGTGGAAGAGAGAGTGTTTGCTTAGTTTCTGCCAAAGATACAAACCCTAAGACATCTAGGACTTTAAATAGGACATAAAAATAATAGAAAACGGGTCCAGGCCCAAACAGATCATAAAATCGCATAAAACTGGCCCAAAACTCGTCTAGTTGACTTTTTTCGTATTCTGGTTGATTGGTTGACTTTTCTGGTTGACTGGTTGACTTTTCTGGTTTCTGGTTGACTTTTCTGATTCCATCTCTCTCCTTCTTCACTTCTTTCACTAAATTCACCTTAAAACCTGCACAAAAACACTGAAATCAAGCATAAACCTGTCCAACTCTCTTATTTCTGAAAATATGGATAAAAGCATGATTTCAAGCTAGTTTCTAAGTGTAAAGGTTGCTTTTTGTGTCAATTTTAGGCATGAAAATAACAGTTTTTCAACTGTTGTCACAGCTGCCACTGTTTCTGCTGCCTTTGAGCCATAAAAATATTACATATCTCTTGAGGTAATAAAGATAGCTTCTTTGTCACTTCTTCCAACTGCTGAGTGATGATCTTATTTTGTGCAAGCAAGGCGTCTTGAGATTGAAATTGTAGAACTCCTTCCTGTTGAATTGGAGCTCCTCTCTCATTATGCATCTCATTATCATTTATAGCCATGTTGTCAATCAATTTAGTGGCTTCCTATGGAGTCTTGCATTTAATATTACCTCCAACTGAGGCATCTAGCATCAACTTGGTTTGTGAACAAAGACCTCCAAGGAAAAAAATGACTATAATTGCTTCATCAAAGCCATGAGTGGGCGTCTTTCTCAACAAGCTCTTGTATCTATCCCAAGCTTAACCTAGTTGTTGATTGGTACCAGACAGAGTGTAACGCAGCGGAATAAATCTAGAGTGGCAGAAAGCGTGTTCGGTCACCTTTTTAAAATAAATTGGTCTGTTTTTAGAAAATCAATTTTCTTTCAGAAAATTTATCGAACAGTTGATATGTATAAAAGATAAAAAATGTAGGGAATAGAAAATCACAAGAGTAATTTTTATACTGGTTCGATTCAACAGAATCTGCATCCAGTCGTTAATCACTATAAAAAGTGATTAACAGTTCCACTAAAAAGATGTTTCAAAGATTACAACAAATAGTGAATAAAACAGATAAATAAACCTTCCTTCGATGAACGAACCGGAAGAAGAACACTCTGCCAACTCGAAGAGAACCGCTCCGACTATCGACAAAGGAAACGCGAGCTTCTCTTATTCACGAGACCAGGCAGAGCACCTTGCTAACTCGAAGAGAGCTTGCTCCTACTATCGACACACAACACACGAGCCCCTCCTGTTCACGAGACCAAGCAAGGGAACTTGAGCTATATCTTCTGAGAACTTCCTCTGACAAACAGTATTCTGCAAGAGCTTCTATTCAACAACTTCTTCTTTTGATCTTCACAGAAACCCAATATATAGCCAGCTGTTCTGAATATCTAAGGTTAAGTCTCAACTGCCACGAATAATCGATTATTGTAAGTGATAATCGATTATTCAAGTCCGTTACAGGTTTTTCAAAAATGTGATAATCGATTATATGAGGTGATAATCGATTATATGAGGTGATAATCGATTATTCCTGGATGACTTTGTGATAATCGATTATTGTCATTCCATAATTGATTATTGCAGTTAAAAATGCAAGTTTTACAAAGTTTACAAGACTTTCCTACTATATTTAATTTCTATAAATTGCTTTTAAATAATTCTAATATCTTCTTCAACTAAAACTTCTTGCAGCATCATCTAAACAATTTTCTTCAAGATTTACCAATACTCCTTATTGGTAACATTTACATTTTCTGCAATCAACTATTTGATAAAACGTTTAAGAGAAAATTAAAGGAACCATTTTTTAATTGACCGAACAAGCTCTTTGATTTTAACAATCTGTATCGTACTCTGTGTTTTAATATTTTCGCTACGCAAAATCGGTACTGATTGTTCCAACAGAGTTTGCAAATGTTAACCACGTGGCAGTGACTTAAGGTCGCATTACGGGTGTGTAATTTTCAAAGAAAAAAGAAATGGGATTTCATTAAATCCCTAAAATGCAAACATGCGAAAATCCCTAATTAAAAATGGTGTTTGAGTTGTTCTTGGTTGTTCTTGTACGACACGAGTGGCTGAGTGGTGAATGTAGTTCTTCTTCTTTGAACAGGATGTCGAACGACCATTCATGTTGTTCTTCGACATGTAATGTGTGGTAGAAGGAAAACCCTAATGTTTGCTTTTGTGGTGGTGGAGGATCTAGGAGTTTGGATGTTTCACCAATTTTCCACTATGGACATAAATGTGTGTTAAGAATTGCTAAAACTATGAAGAATCGAGGCAAAAAAATTTGGGGATGCTCTAAGTATAAGGTAAGATACATTTCATCTATGTAATTTTTGGAACTATTTCTAAGAAGATGTCATTGTGTTTGATTGTTGTGTTTACGTAATGGTACTGAAGACGCTGGTTGCAACTATTTCATATGGTTAACTAATGTTGGGTTTGACGAAACGGGTACCTACTTCAAGTGTGAAGGAAAGAAAGATACTTTGGTGAACAATGAAGAAAGGGAGGCTAATAGAAAAATGATAGTTAACTTAGAGAAATCTGTCATGATTGTTCAAAAGTGGATGAAGGTGTTGATATGGGTGGTTTCTATTTTATGTGTAATAAACCTAATTTTAGTTTCAATGTTGATAAGAATTGGATGATGTGTTGTACCTTTGTTTTGTTTTAATGAATTGAATACTTCTTTTAGAGTTGTGGATGTTGAGTAAATGATAAATTCAGAATTATGTGTTTTTTACTAAAGGACTAAGTGATTGAATTCTGATTATGGAAATGAACATGTTTTATATATGTTACTGATACCAAAAGTTTTAATCAAAGACATACATAAGGATAACCAAAAGTATGGACATGGAGATGTTTTAGATATGCTGTTGATACCAAAACTTATAATCAAAGACATACATAAGGACATGCATAGATTTTTTTTCTGACATAGATAAGATTGCATTTTAAATTACCATGTAGCATACTGTGCAATAAATTTACACAATGGCTATTTTTTAAATAATCAATGACCTAACCTCATCATTAGTGCAAAGAACACACCCAATAGTATTGAACTGACTCACCCATATAAAAAAATGGAAAAGTTATACAAAAATAGAGCAAAAATCATCATGGGTATTGTTGTTGTTCCAATTGGGGAGTCATGTTGAACTTTCTGTGCAAATGACCCTTAAGCTCCTGGTAATCGATTACAAGGTTTATGTAATCGATTATAGGGTCCATGTAATCGATTACCAGAGCCCTAAGGGTCATTTGTATAGAAAGTTCAATTATACTCCTCAACTGGAACAATAGCACTCCCCATGATTTTTGGTCTGTTTTTGGTCAATTTTTCCATTTTTTTATATAGGTGAGTGATTTCAATGTGAATGGGTGATGTTTAAGTGCAATGATGTTGCCTCACTAGTTTTAAATTTGTAAAGAGAATAACATGCATGTAAAAGTAGAAAAAGAGTGTCAGAAACATGTTAGTAATTAAAAGCAAAAGTTATTGTCACGTGCTTTGAACTAACATAACATTGAACTAACATAGCATTGAACTGACTCACCTATATAAAAAAATGGAAATTTTTTTACAAAAATAGATAAAAAAACCATCATAGGAAGTGTTGTTGTTCCAACTGGAGAGTCACGTTGAAC